CCCCAAAACCCCAAAACCCCAAAACCCCAAAACCCCATAATAAATAAATATTTTGGATCTTATTATTAAAAAGAAAATGCTATCCAGAGGCTTTAGACCTATTACAAGGTTTTCAAGATTCTTCTCAATGAATGTTTCAGTAGGCACTCCAGGAGAAAAGATTACTACCAAGGGTGTTCAGTTTGGAGAGACAGGTAAACCCATTTATTTGGATAACCAAGCCACCACTCCTCTTGATCCCAGAGTGCTCGATGCTATGATGCCATACATGACTAACCAGTTTGGTAACCCTCACTCTCGCTCTCACTCCTTCGGCTGGGAAACCGAAAAAGCTGTCGAGAAAGCCAGAAGACAACTTGCCGACCTCATTGGTGCCGAAAAACGAGAAATCATCTTTACTTCTGGTGCCACTGAAAGCAATAACAACATCATCAAAGGCGTCGCCAACTTCTACAAGTCAAGGAAAAACCACATCATTACTTCACAGATTGAACACAAGTGAGTGCTCGACAGCTGCAGGTTCTTAGAGAGGCAAGGCTTTGAAGTCGACTATTTGCCTGTTAACGAGAATGGTCTCATCGACCTTGACCAACTGCGTGAGACCATCCGTCCAACCACATCCATCGCATCAATAATGATGTGCAACAACGAAATCGGAGTTGTGCAGCCAGTCAAAGAAATCGGCCAGATTTGCAGAGAACACAAAGTCTTCTTTCACACTGACGCCGCCCAGGCCGTCGGAAAAATGCCTGTCAATGTTAATGACATGAACCTCGACTTAATTTCGATATCGGGTCACAAGTTGTATGGGCCCAAGGGAGTCGGAGCCATGTACATCCGGAGAAGACCCAGAGTGCGCCTGGAAGCTCTGATGAGTGGTGGTGGTCAAGAAAGAGGACTCCGTTCAGGCACCCTCGCTCCACACTTGGTCGTCGGACTCGGAGCTGCTGCTCATGTGTGCAGCCAAGAGATGGACAACGACCACAGATGGATTTCTCACCTTAAAGATAGGTTTCAGTCTAAAATTACTGCTGAGTTGACTCACATCAAACTCAACGGAGACGAAGCTTCCAGATACTGCGGGAACCTCAACTACTCATTCGCAGGTGTCGAAGGAGAAAGCTTGTTAATGGCCATGAAGCAGGTTGCCATCAGCAGTGGGTCTGCTTGCACCAGCGCTTCTCTGGAGCCATCATATGTGCTGAGGGCACTCGGGCTCGAAGATGACATGGCCCACACAAGCATGAGATTTGGGTTTGGAAGATTCACGACAGAAGAGGAAGTAGACTTTGCTGCAGACAACTTGACCACAGCAGTGAAGAGGCTCAGAGAAATGAGTCCACTTTGGGATATGATCCAAGAGGGTATAGATTTGAGTTCGATTAACTGGACCCAACCACATTAGCATTCTAAGTGATAAGAAAGATTAGCCAATATTATATAAACTTTTTGGGGTTTTGGGGTTTTGGGGTTTTGGGGTTTTGGGG